ACTTGGAATGGGCAGCTAAGATTGGGGGTGGTGGTGAGGAGTCCGGGGCATATGTGTGTGTATACAGGCTCTTGACTGGTTGCATATATCTACTATTTTAAGTGCTAAAAGTATGGGTTTTTATAGTAATACTGGCTGAATTGTATAGTGACCGATTTTATGGCTTCCTGGGTACTTCTGATCAAAGAGATGCCTACTTGATTCTATAGCCATTTGTTTTGCTGATAAAAATCAGTGGCAGTGCACCATATCTGTTATGTCAATCAGCTTTAATGAAGGAACTGACTGCATATGCATGGAGTGTTTCTGGAGTCAGGGTGTCAAACTCATTCGATAGCTGACAGCTGTGATTAGAGCAAAGGAAGACTCCAGCATGAAAGGCACTGACAGGAGTACCCAACTGCTGAAAAAGTAATAAGAAGTAACCAAACTGACTTCCAACCAGCAGTCAAATTTGACTCACTGTGCACAGGAAATCAATGAAGAGAATATGAGCCATTTTCTCCTTATCGATTTTCACTTCTAATTATTCCTCGGAGGTAACTTGGTTTAATTTTTATGCCTTTTTGGGACTATAAATGAATATCTAAAGCTGTACTATATAAAGTTTCCTGGCAGTGTCTGACATGTTCCCTACCTACCCCATCCTCGGTACAGGTGAATTATCCCTTTCCCTTCTTTTCCCATCCCCGGACCTCATCTTTTGACCCACAGTCAGCTCTAAATAACTTTGAATTTAAGTGAAAGAATTCAGGAATAATACCTTTTGCAAGTAATTTGAAATGACCCCAATATTTGTGGTACATGCACAGGCAAAGTCCACAATTCTTCACCTAATTTTGTCAAAATGAGATCATTTTTCTTCTGAGGTCTTTCTTTCTCTTGGATAATTTGATACTTTTCTCTGCTTAGCCTGAAGAAATTCAAGTAACTGGATAATCTTAGGTTTTCTCCCATATATCGCTGGCATTCCTGCCTAGTTAGAAAATACTATAAACCGGTCCATGGAATATATTTTGTGCCTATTTTCTTATAAGATAAGGTATTGTTTGTCAACTTAAACAGAACATCTCCTAGTACTCTACTGGTTTTGCTCCAGAAAGTACTAGATTCTTTGAAAATGCCCCTTAATATTAAGGCAGAATTAGAAGATGTCAGTGATGTCAATAAGTATTCCACATAACTGACCTGATGCCATAGAATTACAGAATTTAGATTTAGGGTTTCAGAAGATCAACCATTTTCTACTTCTTATGAGGACAAAGGTACCTTCTAGGGTAATTCTTTCCAAGATTTAAGTGTAACATAAAAATGTACTTCCCATATGGGAATCCTCCCTATTTGCATGAAATGTTTCCTAGAGCACAGAATTTGGCATTATATGTAGCTAGGGTCGATGTTTATAGGTGTGTTTCCTTGAGTAAAAGAAATTCTCAGGGCTTTTGCCTCCTCATTTATAAAATAGGAAAGATAATATTTACCTTAGAGGGTTTATGTGAGGTTTAAATGATATTATGTGGGTAAAATGTCTGGCTTGTACCAGGTGCCCAATATGGATCATTTAACCTATTTCTTTCTTATGTCTTCCTTTTTTCTTTTTTTCCCCATCCTTCTCTCTTCCATTCCTTTTCTCCCCTGTCTCTTCATATTTCTATTTCTCTAGGCTGTTCTTCCTTACTTCTCTCTCCTGTTTTTTCCCTCTCTCCTTTCTAACTACCTTCTTTTCAACCTCCTTTTCCTTTATGCCCTCCCTAGGAAAAATATCCAGAGTGTGTATTGTTGACTTCCTCACTAAAGAACATCTTTTCCTTTTCTTATTCTCTTTGTCCTGTTATTCACTTAGAATATTTATCTAATGTAATTCGTCTACCTCTAGTCTCATTTTTTCCTATAGTTCCCATTTTTAAACTTCTATCTCCAACAAGCAGTTCCCGTCTCAGTGCATTGCACTCAATAGATATTCTCAGTGTCTGAGGTTTGAGGGCAAACTGTAAATATTTTCTCATCTGTTAATTTTGTTCAAAGAAAGAAGGGCTGATGGGAGCAATAAACCCCATGTACTTACAGTGCTCCTTTTTTTCTGATCAGTCCCAAGGTCTATGAGCTGTATTTTTAGGCTCTTTGACCTATTTAGTTTTAAAAGTACTTTGACTCACAGGTATAATACACACAAAAATTTAAGTGCACAAAATGAAAGTTAGGTTGGTGAGTTACTAACAAAAGTTAAGTGTATAAAACAAAATGTACAGTCAATGAGTTACCACAAAATGAACTCTTGTGTAACCTGCTCAACCAGGTCAAAAGATAGATCACTGCCCACATTCCAGAAGCTTCCGTGTGGCAATTGCCAATCATGACTCCCACACTGTATGGCCTGAAAAGCCCAAGATATTTATTGTCTGGCCCTTTATTGAAAAAATTTGTTGACACCTGTACTAGACTATTCCTATTCCTCTTCTCTTTAGTCTTCAAAATATGTTTGATGGTTGAAAACAAAAAAATATTACATTGTTCAGGATTTTCAAAGTATGCAAATGTAGTATGTAAAATAACTACTACATAAAGGGGGGAGGATAAATAGACCTATATGACGGTAAGCATCTTACATTCCACTTGAAGTGTTCAAGTATTGATTCTAAGTAGACTGTGGAAAATGAGGTATACTGCATATACCTAGAGCAACCAATAAAAAGGTACACAGATATAGTAAAACAGCACAATAGATAAATTAAAATGGTTTCTACTGGTTTTGTTCCAGAAAGTACTAGATTCTTTGAAAATGTCCCTTAATATTAAGGCAGAATTAGAAGATGTCAGTTGATATCAGTAAGTATGCCATATAACTGACCTGGTGCCATAGAGCTACAGAATTATAGATTTAGGGTTTCAGAAGATCAACCATTTTCTACTTCTTATTAGGGAAAGGTACCCTCTTGGATAATTGTTCAAGTAATATAAAAGGGAAAAGGGCAAACAATGGAATGGAAAGCAAATGGAACAATCTGAAAACCAATAACATAACTGTAGAATTAAATCCTGATACATCAATAACTACATTAAGTGTAAATAGTCTAAGCACATTAATTAAAAGACAGAGATTGTCAGAACTAACTACAAAAAATATCAGTGATTTCTGTTTCTGGAAAGATGGAGTAGATGCACTTTTCCCTATTTCCCCCATTCAGTATAACTAAAAATCTGGAAATTATACAAACATAACAAGACTCTGAAAGATGGAGAGACTCAGTCGGATTGTCTAGGGACCTTGGGACCTGAGGAATGACGTGATTGTAAGTTACCTGGGTTTCCTTTTTGTCTGATATATTCCAATCTTGGAGCTGAAGTAGCTGGTGTCCCAGAAATGTCGACAGGCACAGAAGTTTTTAAAAAGCCCCAACAAAAAGCCTATTCTCTAGCCAAAAGACCAGGAAAAGGACAGCTGATAGGCTAGAAACTTACAAAATAACTATTCCTCTTCATTCAGATGCCACAGGAAAATGACTAGCAAAGGCCAAGTGGAGAGTGTAGACTCCCACTCTCACCTTGCTTTGACTCCTCCTATTCCCTCACCAGGGCATCGTCAGAGAAGGCTGAGTAGGGAGTCTGTACTTTCATCCCACTGGGCGTTAAATAGTCACTTCCTCACTCCCTTCAGCAGTTTTAGGAGAGCCTGGATTGCCATCCTTAGTCTAGCACATGATTAGTTACATTAAATATAAACAGCCCAAATACACCAATAAAAAGACATCACCACAGTGGATTAAAAAGCATGACCTAACTATGTGATGTCTACAAGTAACTGACTTCAAACACAAGAATATATGCATGTAGAAAATAAAAGGTTGGGAAATGATATATCATTAAACAATCCAAAGAAAGAAAGAGTGGTTATATTAATATCAGATAAATAGACTTCAGATCAAAGAAAATTACTAGATACAGAGAAGAACATTATATAGTGATACAATGGTCACTCCACCAAGAGGACATAGCAAACTTTAAAATGTATGCATCAAACAACAAAGCTGAAAACTAGGTAAAGCAAAAAGTGATAGCATTGAAAGGAGAAGTAAGCACATTATTAATGATAGTTGAAGACTTCAATGCTCCTTCCTCAACATTGATAGAAGAATCAGACAGAAAATCACCAGGGATAGAAAACTCAATATAATCAACAAGATCTAGTGATATAGAACACTCCAGCCAACATTAGCAGAATCCGTATTCTTTTCAAGAGCCCACAGAGCATATACCAAGATAGACCACATTCTGAGCCATAAGACAAACCTCAACAAATTTAAAAGACTTGAAATCATATAGAATATGTCCTCCAACTATAGTGGAGTCAGGCTAGAAATCAATAACATAGATAATAGGAAAATCTCCAAACACTTGGATAATTAACAACACCGTTCTAAATAATCCATCAGTCACAGAAGAGGTCTTAAGGGGAATAAAAAGATTACACTGAACTGAATGAAAATACAAATACAGCATATTAAAATTGTGGGATACAACTAAAACAGTGATGATACAAATTTATAGCACTAAATGCTTACATTAGAAAAGATTTTAAATTAAATTAATTTAAAATTAACAAATTAAGTTAAATTAAAACCCATCTTAATGTGAGCTTTCACATCAAGAACTTAGAAAAAGAAGAGCAAAATAAACCTAAAGTAAGCAGGAGAGTATAAATTATAAAGATAAGAGCAGAAACCAAAATTTAAAACAGAAAAAACAGCAGAGAAAAATCAATGCAACAAAGAGTTGGTTCTTTGAAAAGATCAATAAAATTGACAAGCCTCCAGCAAGAAGGACAAAGAGAAAAATGAGAGAAAACAAATTAGTAGTATCAGGAATGAAATATGGAATGCCATACATACCCTGCTGATATGAAAAAGATAGGGAACACTATGATCAATTCCACATACATACAGTTGACAACTTCGATGAAATGGATCAATTCCTTAAAAACTACCCACCACAAAAATTTACCCAATATGAAACAGATAACTTGAATTGCCCTACTCTATTACAGACATTGAATTAATAATTTGAAAATTCCCCCAAAGAAATCTTTACTGGACATTCATTAGAGAATCCTATGAAATGTTTGAAGAATAAGAAAATAGAAGGGAGGAAACTTCCTAATTCGTTTTATGAAGTTAGCATTATCCTGACACCAAAACCAAAGACAGTACCAAAAAAAAAAAAGAGAAAAAAAAAAAAGAAAAGACAAAAGGAAAACTATGGATCAGTATCCTCAAATCCTTAACAAAATATTTCATAATATAATCAGCAATATATAAAAATTATGTACTATTACCAACTGCAGTTTATCCCATGGATGCAAGACTGGTTCACCATTCAAAAATCAGTCAATATAATCCACTATATTAACAGGCTAAAGAAGAAGAATGAATCACGTGATTATATCAGTTGGTGTGGAAAAAGAATTTGATAAAATTTAATACTCATTCGTGATTTAAAAAAAAACACTCAACAAACTAGGAGTAAAAAGGAAACATCTATAACTTTATCAAGAGCATCTATAAGAAAGCTACAGATAACATACTTAATGTTGAAAGACTAAATGTATTTCTCCTAAAATTGGGAACAAGGAAAGGATGTCCTCTCTAGCTACCATTGTTCAACACAGTGCTGGAACTTTTAGCTAATGCAATAAGGCAAGAAATCGAAATAAAAGGCAAACAAATGGTAATGAAGAAATAAAACTCTCTATTTGGAGATGACATGATTTAATACATAGAAAATGCCAAGGAACTTACAAAAACAACTCCTAGAAATGAAACTCTCAGGTATCAATCTAACAAAACATGCATAGGACTTATGCTAAAACTACCAACTGCTGATTAAAGCAAATGAAAAAGATCAAAATAAATGGGGGATGTCACTTCTCTCCAAATTGATATACAGACAACACAATTCCAGCCAAAATCCCATCAAGATTTTTTATTGATATAGAGAAGATTAGTCTAACATTTATATTGACAAGCAAAAGAAATATAATAGCTAGAGCAATTTTGAAAAAGAAGAATAAAGTTTGAGAAATCACTGTATGCAATTTCAAGACCCATTACAAAGCCATAGTAATCAAGACTGTGTGGTTGGTATAAATACATAGATCAATGCAACAGAATAGAGGACCCAGAAATAGTCCCACACAAATATACCCATCTGGTTTTTGACAAAGGTGCCAAAACAGTCAGTAAATGGTGCTTTTTCAATAAATGGTGCTGGAGAAATTTAACATCTATAAACAAAACAAAAAACCTAAAATCCTTGAAGCTCACACCTTGTATACAGATTAATTCAAAATTGATCACAGAATTAAGTGTAAAATGTAAAACTATAAAACTTTAAGAAAAACATATGAGAAAATATTTATACTTTAGGGTTAGGCAAAGAATTCTTAGACTTAGCACCAAAGCACATCACATAAAAGGAAAAAGTGATAAATTAGACTTCATCTAAGTTTAAAACTTTATCCTGTGAAGACCCTGTTAAGAGAATGAAAGACAAGCTACAGATTGGGAGAAAATATTTGCACACCATGGACTTATAAAGGACATTTAGATACATTATTTAAATATATGTCTAAATAATAAAAGAATTCTCAAAACAGTAGAAAGACAAGAGATCCTGTTAGAAACTGAGCAAAAAGACATTCCCCTGAAGAGGATATACACACGGCAACTAAAAACATTTTTAAAAAATTCAACATCATTAGCCATTAGGGAAATGCAAATTAAAACCAGAGTGAGCTAGCACTACATACCTATTAGAATGGCTAAAATAAAACACAGTCACTCTGCCAAATGTTGGTGAGGATGTGGAGAAACAATCACTTGTACATTCCAGTTTTATTTTGTGTGGTTTTCTTTGTATTTATCCTTCTGGGAATTCATTGTGCCTCTTGAAACTGTGGCTTGGTATCTTTTGTCAGTGTTGGAACAGTCTCATCCTGTGTTTTACCAGTTGCCAGTAATTTAAAAACCATTTTTTTATATATGAATAAGACTTTACATAAAGGAGTTGGATGAAAAGTGTTTACTTGTCATACTCTGTGTGTATATTCCTATTTACACAATTATAAGTATGAGAAAAACCAAAACAATACAACTGTATGTGCTGTTTCCCCTTTATTGCACCTTAATGATCCCTACCTGGTTCCTAGTCTCCGCACCTACTGGTTATCATTTAACATATGTTAGGCTAATTTTCCTTTAAGTTTTATTTCCTAATTAAACCTATGTCAGGGTGTAAGCAGTGAAATATTCTCTCTAGACCTTTAAAAGCTAAAGATAATGGCTATTGGATGAGGGACAGTCTGCGGCCCTTCTATTAACACTTAATCTCTCACTTTTTTGTTAGCTGGTCAGTTTCCAAGCACTTCGATGTGCCCTGTCTCATTTGCTTTCACAATGACGCCTTGAGCTTGGTAGGCTTAGTTCCATTCTGCAGATGGTCTCTGAGGTTAAGAAGACCAATGAAAGAATAAAGATCCGAGGGGTAGATCTTGTTTTATACCAGTTTGGAACATCCCAGAATGGCTCTGATTCCATATTTGAGTGCCTGTTGTATACTCGTCATGTTACCTAGATGTCCCTTGCTCTTCTATTCCAAAATATTGCAGTCCTTCCATGGACACAGTAAGTTGCTCAGCCAGAAACAAAGTTGAACTTCCTTGTCTTCCTTTTGTGCTATTATGCCACCTGCGTACAAGAGAGGGGAGGACTTTGTTACCTGTTTAGAAAGAGGGAGGGATCTCATCTCCCTCCCAGTTGGCTACTGCTTCATAATAGCATCCCAGAAAGATCCCTTCTGTAAATATTTTGTTTGACTACTTCTCCTGCAGCTGACTCAGGAATTGAGATGGGTTGTCTGCGGATCTTAGAATGAGTCTGGAGATAGCGAAGAGATTGCCAAGCAGAACTGCCATAAACCTTGACTAGGAAGAAGCAGCTTTCCTTGTGGAATCGGGCCTTTCTTCTGACCACTTCAGGGATTAAGAGAACAAGGTAAGTGAGCAAGCAAAGTGGGGGTGTTGAGGCACGTGTTTGGCAGGCAAAGGAATGGAGACTATGTGTAGAACTTCAGAGTCCTTCCCAAGGTAAGTCGTACTTATAAAACTATTCCTTTAATAATATTGACGGGAGTATTTGAGCCAGAACTGTGGGGATGCGGGGACTACAACTGTGAATAAGATTGAAATATCCCCTGCTTTCCGGTGCCTACAGCCTAGTGGGGGATACAGTTAATAAACAAGTACTTACAAAACTGTGCATCCAGTTTCCTTATGGGAGACGTATAGGTTGCAGTTGGGGCACACAGGAGGCCATCGTGACCCTGCCAGGGGCTCCTGGAAGGGTTTCTGGAGTTAGTGATATCTAAGCTAAGTTATAAAAGAGAATCTGACATTCATTAGGTGAGTAGGTGTGGAGGTAGAGTAGAGGGAAAGCATGTGCAAAAAAAGGAAGATATTTCAAAGAACTAAAATTATTGCAGTTTGGTAGGACTTTAGTTATGACGTTAACATACAGAATAGGGGAAAGAGTTCTCTAGGCAAAACCTAGTATTCCTTTGGTAAACTGGGCCCAAGTGCATTACCTGAAATGTAGAAAATTGAGGTGAATGAGCCCTATCCTCCTTTACTAGTATGCTCAGGTAGGACCCCTGACTTCAAGGTGCAGGTTAACTCAGGTTTCTAGCTTGAACGCTTTGGCCGGCAATGTGCCAGTCAGTCCCCTCTCACTGAGGCAGACAGCGCCCTCCAGTGGAAATGGAGATGAGCGCTCCTCCTGCGCCTCGCTGGCCCCAACCAGATTAAAACTGCATATTTGCCATTCTCCTGTGAGGTTCTAGTCAGCCGCGAGTCGGGGCAAGTCCGCTGAAATTCTGGAACCAAATAACACAAGGAGAATGCTAGTTCTTAGGAAGAGCTGATTTATTTTATAATCTAAATTTTAGTCCTTTGAATATGCATCCAAAGCAGTGTGCTGGTTGAGAAAAATTACAAAAAATAATGGAAGAGAGAATGAGAACTATAGAAAATGGGAATGTTTTGTTATTGCTCTTTCAGCCCCACCTCCAGAACACTGATTAAACTGTGGTCAGCGGAAGGGAGTTAGTGAGTGATCTGCTGGTGTAAACAGTTTTAACAATAGAAAGTTAATTTCTTCTCAATGCATCTAAATCGACATTGGACAGTAGCTCAGGAATATCACTTTGAAGTGTCACCAAATGTCCAGTTTGCTTAGGCACTCATGTGCCTGGGATAATGACAGACTTAGGAGGTGTGTGTGTGGGGGAGGGGGAGACAGTCATAGCTGCTGCCATATAATGTGCCAGGGCCTGGGATGCCCCAGCACACACACCAGTAACCACCTTCCTCTCCAGGAGGGAAATTGGGACCCTCTGCCCCATTGTATTATGGTTTTTGAGAATATTCAATTTCATCTAGTTATTCCATAACAATTTCAAGATTTAGGAAGATGCAAAATGATGTGGGTAGAATTAAAATGCTTTAAATGACGTAAGGTGCTGAAAGTAGCTACCTTTCTTCTAAATAGGAAGAAATGGCAAGTTTGGGGAAATGACCCTGTCTGTGTTACTTTTTAGAATCCTCTAGGTGGTGCTGCTGTGATACTTATGAGCTAGAAATTGTTTTAGCACTTAACTATCAAACCAAATATTTAACTTACTGCATGGCTTATACATATATGGTCAATTGCTAATATGATACTATTGATAATTTATACCATCATATTCTCCTAAGACTCAGCCTATACACATAAATTACACAACAGTAATTTCAAGAGTTGGAATACATGCACTTCTCTGGTTATTACTTAATACAATGAAAGTTTTCATGTGTGGCCGATTTCTTCCACACACATTACAACCGGCTATAGGATTAGCTCTTCCTAACCTCTGCTTGTGTTGGTGAGTGTCTGACAGTGCCTTGTACATAGTAGATGCTAAATTAATGTTTATCAAAGGAATTGATTCTATTTTGTTTTTCCCCTTTCACTACTAATCGGAGATGAGATGACTAACTGGATTAAGCTTTTTAAAACCTAGTCAGACATTGCTGCTTATCTTTGCTAATAAAAGGATTGGGAGACTACTTTTCCTGAAAATGGCCTGAGGTGTATATGGATATATAAGCAAATTGGTTTTCAGGTTGGTTCCATTTGAAATGCAGGAATGGTATGAAAAACTGTGTT